CAACGGACCCGCGTAAACACACGAGCGCGTTGCCTACTACTACTACTACTACTACTACGACTCCTGCCGCTGCTGCTCTACTAACATCATTGCCATTGCAAACTCCTTACAACACCAGTAACAAAAAAGAACAGCGGCACCGGCAATACAACCACCGCCGCAGCCACCACCAACAACAACAGCAGCAGCTGTTGCTGCTCCACCTCCTGCTGCTCATAATCATACCAATACATACTCTACATATACCTAGTTTCCATTCGCTTCTACATTTTTCTTTTCCGTGTGCTTCTCCTGTATTGCTACTGCTATTGCTATAATGTCAAAACACTAATCACTAAACCCTAAGCCTTCAATCCCTAGCTCTAAACCCTTTTTTTCCTAAGCCCTAAATCCGTAATCCTCAATCCTTAGGATAGGCTGCAGCCAAGTCTAAGGATCATCTACCAGCCCAAGGCTCCAGCGTTCTGCGGCTAGGCCAGCCTGCCGAAAACTTGGTTCAGGGTTCAGGATTTTTTCTTGGTGCTTCATGGAACTTACTGTAATAATTGATAGCTACACACTTCTGGGCTTACATACTTGGAAACCTTACCCCGATTACAAGCAGGGTTGCAGGCCCAGTTATTAGTGGTCACCATGCCCCATGTAGCATGCCTTAAAGTGACATATGATATATGAGGTTTCCAAAAATGAGGGTCCCCCCTTCTGGATTTCCCTAAGAAGGACTATCGAATTTTGGTGTCCATATTGGGTTCCCCTCGCCTATAGAAACTTACATACACAAGGATATGGCGGGTTAAGGTTTGGCGAAGAATGGCGAATCAAGGAAAATGTGGAAGCTGGGATGATATAGGGATTTTGGGTTTGGGGGCAGGTAGTGAAATCACACATGACCCTTGTCCAGGTAGCAATTATGAAAGACTGTAGGACATTGCCTGGTCATGACCTCGTGCGCTCCCTGCCTACAAGTAGCTGGTTGTGAGGCCTTCAGGGATATATGCCCATATATGTGCATATGGCTGTGTAAGCAGGTCCTTGATATATGGGGTTAAGAACTCAGCGTTAACTTCGCAGGGAATGAAAGAAAGAAACCACAATGGAAGCTCTGTTTGGGGTGTAGTGTTTAGGCAATGAACATGAAAATGGAACGAATTTTGTCTACTCAGGCAGAGTCTATAATATAGGGGCTATTGCAGGGATCCACTCCTCTCTTGCCTACTAGCAGCCAATAAGCAAAGGATTGCAGCCGCATCTTGGCATTGGAGTCTACGGTAGGACTTAACTCAAGCCGCTTGGCAGGGTTAAGGTTTCGAGATATGGCAGGCAAAACACATAAGATCTTGCGCGTGGTCCTTCAGTGGATCTGTGCCTATCGAGATTTTGATCTCTGCCTAGCCCGCCAGAAAGGACAGGAGCCCTGCTAAATCCGACTCACCATCCTTGAAGCTTCCCTCAGGCCTGTGACCTGGCATGTAGGAGTTATGTGGCTTTTCACGTGACGTGGCAAGCATTTGCCAGGAATAAGTGCGCCGGTTCAGAAATCAGCTCTTCAAAAGTTGGAGACTACAATAATTATGCTTGTAAAGGCCTTTTGAGTATGGATTTGCAAGCTGCCGGCGGGCACTGTAACAAAATCGTCACAACCCCCCCGGCCTTCTGCTTCTTGCGCTGGTGCTTTGCCTGTGCATGACAAACCAGCCTGCGGTGAATGTGGGCTTTCACTGCAAGATTGCCTTTGCGATCTTTCGCCCTTGCCATCCACGAACTTGGCATTGAATGCCTCATACACTCTATCCCAAGCAGTGGGGTGTCCGGGCAATCGACCAAGCTGAAGCGTCAATACGGATGGTGCATCATCAGATCTAGAGACACTACAAAAAATTCAAGACTCAACAAGGGATCTTCAAGTCTTTGATTGAGCATGCGGCGCTGAACTGCCTCCATCCTGCAAGCGCTGAAGGTTGTGTTGACCCTCGTCGGGATGTACAGCGATGGGAGGTTTGGACTCTACGTCATCAGGCTTTATCCAGAACCTCTGGAACGAGGCCTTTGACCCATGTAGTGTCCGGAACGCATAGGAGTATGGCCTATCCTGCAGCTCTGCTGGCTGTGTGCATGGTCCGGAACAGGTATGGCACGAGCATGGAACCACGTATGAAACGAGATTGGCCATGCACTTTGTTAATATATGGAACGAAACAGCCCCGGATCAGGGTCCCAAGATTATGATCCACAGTGCACAGGGTCTGGAACGGAGGGGCCTGTCGGCATGTTCCAGACCAAACATCAGATCACAACAATAAATTCCCATTCGAGAAGCATGTGCTCACGATTAATGGGCTTGTTCTTTCATATTCCGACCTCTGCTGGTACGCGACCATGGTACTGCAGCAAGCTGAAACGAATCACCATCTTCACGTGCTTTGTCAATACGTCGGATATTTGAGCTAGGCATATCTGAAAACAAGTTGCTAGTGCAAAAGCAGGCCCCAAGTCCTGTCTTGCTCTGTTGCCAATTCGCGGCGCCTGTCAATTCAGCTACATACTGTACTGGTTGGAAATCACAGCAGCTTGCCAGTGCAAGGCCTCGACTAGGAAGATAAGGGTTTCGCGGTTTCGGGTTTAGACGGTTGCATCCACAACCCGTTCGTGGTGGCAATCTTGAGATCAAAAGAAATCACAGAGATCTGGGTGTTGTTCTGGCCGGAGCGCTGATCCAGCTTCAAGTTCAGACGTCTAGAGGAGCCAAGAAACTTCGCTCCTTTTTGCGTGACCTGCGCTGGATCTCCTACTGGTTGACGTTCCGGGGAAAACCTATCTCGGCTCTGCAGTGTGACATCAAGCTCAACTCGAAAGTAGCTGCAGAAGCTCGCTTTCAAATACTGGGGGGCCGCGCAAACTTCCTAGTTCCAGCTATGCCTGGAACACATGCCTGGAGACTTCCTAGGTCCTAACTATCCCAGAGTCCTTCTTGACCACAAGAACAGTAATTACAATAGCAATATCAGTGATAATAGTAATAATAGGCATAATAGTACTAATGATAACTGAAAACGTTGTTCTCAACAATCGCGGGGCTCCCCTGAGTCAGAGGTGCAGGGACTGTAAACGATTCTACAAAACTGACTGTCCCGGTCAGCTGGGCGTCGCATGCTTTGCGCACAAAACAAGATTTGCTAGCCGCTAGGGCAGCCGCTGGGAAGGAAAACAATTGGCGCATTCAAAAATGGTGCGAGTAGATCATCTGCTCGTAAGTTGGGTACGGATAGAGGCCTGGGCTGGATGCAGGGCTGATCGAACATCTTTCGAACAGGAACCCTTGCAATGGGTGCATACAGCCATGTAACAAGACGTGCCTACGTTACAGGGTGTGCAGCACAGCATGCCAACTTTCCGTGCAAGCCAGCAGCTGCTCTCCATCATGGTCTCCGCTTTGTCCACGGCCTGGACTTCGCAGGCGATGGGCTAAGTGCAGCTGGACACGAGCTACCCTGACTAGAGGATTGTTGATGCTCCCGTTCGGCTTCAATCTTTGAACGGGTTATGGGGAGGTCTCTGAGGCCATTTATTAGTGCGCCCCGTGCCTCCCGCAGAGATCCCATCTGCACTTTGACCTTGTCACAAAGGTACGTGGCTTCCTTCTCAAGGTCGCCGTGTGGCATGGCATCCATGCATGCCTTGAGCTTTTCAAGCCTGAGATCAGAGCGCACGTGCCATGAGGCGGCCACGCGTATTAGCCAAGTCAGAATGTTTGTGTATGTGTACTGCTCGTGCGAACTGTTGTTTTGCTGGCAAGCAGCTCATCCACAATCGCTTCGTACGCGGTTTTTCTTGGCTCGGAGAACTTGCTACTCATGTTCTCACACTTCTTCAAGTCCTTCGCGCAGGCTGGCACGAAGCCAGTCTCCACCATGTTGATCATGGTCTGCGCTTCGATAGTCAGGCAATTGATGTAGTTTTCCAGCATGACCTGGCAAGCCAGATTCTTTCCAAAATCAAAACAGCATGCCCTGTCAACATCTACTGACCAAATGCTCCCACACCCCCCCCCCGCCAGACCTCCTTTCATGAACTTCACAACTTGCTCTGAACCGCTTTCGACCGATTCTAGACTTTCCAACCAAGAGTTGCGGGACTTTGCCCTTCTAAAGAATCTCTGATACAGGCGGAGGGTACCAGAGTCCAAAAGAACACATCGAAATCTTCTGTTGTTTGTATAGTCATAGTCGGCACATGCGTGCACTCTTGTAGATCCCATGGCAAGAAAAGTGCGCCTCTTGTCTTGCCTCCGTCTCTTCCTTGGTATAGATCTTCAAGTCGTCGAACCTCAGACAAGCGAATGACAAGGCAGAATCCCGAAGAGCTTCCTGCGAGTCCCTACATCAAGGATTGTATCTCATTTTGAGGCCTCATACATTAGAAAGCAAACAATCGAGCTCCAGAGAAAAATGTAAAACATTTTGTGCTACCAGGTAATCACCTCTCCCGAATATTAAGGCCCCCCCCTTAATAACATGCACCCCAATATGCCAGCACCAACTATTGCGGGCTTCATATTTTGGAGAATGGATTACAAGCGAAAACGCTTGCTTCTCTTTTTTTTTTGGAATCAAGAGGAACGAGCTCTCGCAAGTCGACAGCTCTGGACACAGCTGACCTCCAGCCAACAATGTCAGGGATCCCAAAGGCGGGAACACTGGCAGCTACAAAGACCGTCATGACGCAGTAGTAGCTTAGAGAAGCGATCATAATTCTGAAGGGATCCTAGTTGTCATCGTGCGTGGGCGGCCTGATTCTGCACCAAGCAGCTGCCAAACCGTTGGGCTTCAAAACCAATGGGCCCAGGCTTCTTCTCAGAATGCCCGAGTGAAGCTAAGACAGCTAAGGGGCCTCACGAGAGACCGCAAAATGATAGCAAGAGCAGCTGGACTGCTCCAGGTCGAGCTCCCGTATGTAATACATATCTGCTTGTTTAATCTTGTTTACTTGCTCTTGAAGTGCTACAGAGCTTGGGAACCCGTGTGGACCGCGCTTGAGGGCACCTGAACGTCAGCCGTCCTCAACCTCTAGACCCGCAGTCCCTCACCTCACACTGCACATCACATCCCTACATAACCTGCTGTACCAGCAAGTTAGGCCTGGACTTAAAAGAAAGCTCAGACCCTTGCATCAGGGCCCTCAGCCAACCGAGAGATGATACCGTTGAAGGTGGCGCTCGGGTTCATGGCCACGTCGGCCTTGGCCTTGTCCACGTGGTAGTAGCCTCCGATGTCCACGGCCGTTCCCTGACACTCGATCATGTCTGACAGGATCGCTGCTTCCTTCTCCTTGAGCTGCTCGGCCACGGCTGAGAAGGTCGTCTTAAGGGCTGTGACTTCATCCTGGGAGGCCAACTCTTCGGCCCAGTACCGGGCCACCCAGTAGTGGCTGCCCCTGTTGTCCAACTCCTTCACCTTGCGGGAGGGATTCTTGTTGGCATCCAAAAACCGGCCAACCGCCCGGCTGAGTGCAGCTGCCAGGGCCGCTGCCCCCTTGTTTGCGGTGTCCTTCGCAAGATCCTCAATCGAGCAAGTGAGGGCCAGGTACTCACCCAAGGAATCCCAGCGAAGGTGATTCTCCTTGGTGAACTGCTGGACATGCTTCGGGGCAGAGCCTCCGGCTCCTGTCTCGTACATGCCGCCGCCTGCCAACATGGGGACCACCGAGAGCATCTTAGCACTGGTGCCAAGCTCCAGGATGGGAAATAAGTCAGTCAAGTAGTCCCGGAGGACGTTTCCGGTCACCGTGATCGTGTTCAGGCCCTGCTTGGCGCGCTCGCAGGTCACGCGCATAGCCTGCTGCGGTGACATGATCTCCTGGTCAGGTACTATTTGGGTGTTGTTGAAGGTCACTTTTCCCCTGCTTGCAGGACTATGCTGGTGGGCTTATCGTTCGATCATTCAAGGAAGTTCAGACGTTTGAAACAAGTGCTTTGGTCCCGTTGCGCTGGCTTCCATGTTATGCTGATCGGGCGAAAAGCACTGAGCATACAAGTTTGTATGGCTAGGTGATTTTTTATTCTCGCAATTTCTCATGCCAGCAAGAGGGCAATGGGGCCAGAGCCGTAATCTGTAATGGTTATATGGACTAACCGAGGTTGCTTCCGTCGTTCAATCACGAAAGTAGGGCTCGTAAGCTAAGAAGAGAACACCTGCCAAACACAGTTCTAGTCTCGATGTCCAGGCCCTCCGTGCGAACTTCTGGGAGGTACTGGTAGACTTTCTCCATAATCTGGCAGTCGTGGGCACGAGCAGGATCCAACCAAAAGATTGCCTTGCAGGGCTTGTCGTTCCTGGGGAAATCATTGGCCTGGCACCTGCGCACTGCGAGCTTCACCCAGTCCTTGATAGGAGCATCCTTGGTCTGGCAGGAGCGCCAGATATCCCCTTTCTGCAACCGGTGGCCGAGGAGCACCTTGTCACTTCCGTTGACAACAATGCGGATAGTACCGGCGCACTGTGCCTCAAAAGTTGTTGGATGCGAGCCATACTCCTCTGCCTTTTGAGCCATCAGCCCCACGTTAGGGCAAGCACCCATGGTCTTCGGGTCAAAGGCCCCATTCTTCTTGCAGAACTCGATGCACTCCGAAAAGGCCCCGGCATAGCTGCGGTCTGGAATGCAAGCCTTGAAGTCTTCCTCCTTGTCGTCCTTGTTCCACATTTTTCCGCCGGCGCGGATGGCTGTGGGCATGGAGTTGTCGATGATGATGTCGCTGGGAACGTGAAGATTGGTGATGCCCCTATGCGAGTCCACCATGGCCATTTTGCCCTGCTTGGCGTAGGTTGCCATGAGGTCCGCCTCTATGGCTGCCTTCTCCGCCTCAGGCAAGGCTGCAATCTTCTTGTAGACGTCGCCAAGGCCATTGTTTGCATTGACACCCAGCTTCTCGAAGGTCTCGGCGTACTTGCTGAAGACATCTGCGAAGTAAGCCTTGACACAGTGCCCAAACATGATTGGATCGGAGATCTTCATCATGGTGGCCTTCAGGTGCAGTGAGAACAAGACATCTTTCTCCCTAGCATCGGCAATCTCACGCTCGAAGAAGTCTCGGAGCATGGCGCAGTTCATGAAGCTGGCATCCAAGATCTCCCCCTTCCTGGGACAAATTTAAATGAATTCAGGGGCTCTGCAACAATTTAATTCTTATAATCCTATTGGGAGTATGTAGGGATTACAGCCCGCACAAATTAAAACGTATTCGCACGAATAGCCCAGCTTCTGCAGAGAGATCTTCTCCTTCAGCAAAGTGACCTCGCCCGACTCCGAAACCATCTCGATGCGAGCTTCGCAGGCCTCGGAGAGAGTCACGGACTTCTCATGCGCGTAGAAGTCCCCATCAGACATGGAGGCCACATGAGTCTTGGACTCCTTGGACCAGGCACCCATGGAGTGCGGGTACTTGAAAGCATACTCCTTAACAGGCACTGCCGCTCGACGGTCGGAATTGCCCTCACGGAGCACAGGGTTCACGGCACTTCCCAAAACCTTGGCGTACCGGGCTTTGATCTCCTTCTCCTTGTCGTCCTTGGGATCTTCTGGATAATTCGGGATGGCGAAGCCCTGACTCTGCAACTCGGCGATGCACTCCTTGAGTTGCGGCACGGAGGCGCTAACGTTGGGCAACTTGATGATGTTGGCCTTGCCGCTTTGAGCCAAGCGCCCTAACTCTGCCAAGAAGTCACCGCGCTGCTCCTTCAGCATCTCGGGGAACAGGGCTAGCACGCGCCCAGCAACGGAGATGTCCTTCAGCTCCATCTCAACACCTGCCTGGGCACAAAATGCCCGGATGATTGGGTAGAGAGCATGGGTCGCCAGCATGGGCGCCTCATCAGTGTAGGTGTACGTGATCTTTGCGGCCATGACTGCAGCCAGGAAAAGGTCGAGGGCAACGTCAGACCGAGTTGTTACTTTTGAGCCAAAATTTTCTTCCAATGCCAACTATAGAACCACACGCACATGACATGCGCAAGTGTTTGTCATGGAACAGGCATGTCTCGGTGGAGCCCGAGCCCAGTACACAAATTCAAAATTGGAGGGCCGACTAGACGTGAGCGGGCTGTCCAACAGTTGCACAACACACGCGCGGAGTGCCAAATAAGTGCGTCCCAAAGACAGCTTCTTGTTCTTGTCAGAGCTCCAGGTCACCACAGCCTTCGGAAGCAGCTGTTGTGGGTCACAACAGTACCTATCTATCTGTCTATATACATATATATCTATGCACATATGTGTATATGTGTATATATATATACACTCATATATGTATAAGACTTTATATGTATATGTATATGCCGCTGAGTCTTGAGCAATGCTCACAGGGAATTCTTGCAGCCCAGTAGTCCACTGAAACCTGTCCCGGCCCGCCTTGGGCGTGGTGTTCAAGTTTGGCAGGCCTCCACAGAAGCAGGATCAGGTCTTCTGCCAGAAGCAGGCGAAAAAGAGACATCATGCTGTTTCTGCGTGCGCAACCTTGTAGCTGTGGATTGCGGCAGCCAAGAGACAAAAGCAAATGCTGCAGAAGACATCCTAGAGGTTGCACGCTCGCCCGCCTCTCTTTGCGGCTTCCTCCTTCCACTCTGGGGAGTAGCCGTTGCCCGTAAAAATCACGTGCTTGTTCTCCTGCAGTTGGAGGCGATGCAGAAAGCTATGCATGTAATGTTCGAAAGTTCCTGGGGTGCATCTAGAGGTCACTGCCGGGGTCAAGGAAGCCAGCCATTGTCTCATGAAGATTCATGGCGCCACTGCCACCAGATAGCAAAAACCTAACATGGATGATAATTTCCAGCCTTACCCTTCTGAACAGATGAAGTAGGATCTTCAAATTACGGTCTCCCCAAAATGGAAACACAAAGTACAGGCACCAATACTCCTAATGCACGCTCTAGACACTCACCACCTAAGAAGAAAAACTATTGCTTTGGGCGGCCTCCAAAATTGGTCCCCCATGACATACCCTCAAGTATAGTACGATCTCAGAATCCAACCGCGGGAGATCTTCAGAATGGCAGCTTGCCAAAGCTATGGTTATCTAATCAAAGCGGCCACTTAAATTCAGGATGCTAAAGGAGGGCCCACAATGTTGGCCCTCCCAAACCCTAACCTTAAACCCGAAACCCTTGCACCGCAATAACTTTGAACCTCTCAAAGCCTAACCTTGGAAACATCTTAGAACCTTAAACCCTAAACCCTTCTCCCGCCCCAAGGCTCCTTGAACATTTTCGCCACAGCATCCCGGTGGGACATGCCGCCCTCGATTAAGCCGGCGAGGTGACCCATGCCAGCAGCCATGATGGCGTTGCAGACCATCACAGGCAAGCCTAGGGTTCAGGGTTTAAGTTTTGCTTTTTGTTGCTGCGCCTCTTTTCGACTTAAGGGTTTCGGGTTCAAGTGTTCAGGGCTTAAGGTTGAAGAGTTTAGGGATTAAGAGCTTAGGTGCTTGGGGGTTCATGGGTAGATAGACGTAGACTTAGAAGCCTGCCCAGTATGGCTATACTATAGTTGTCCTGCTTCCACCCCTGCTACACCTTAAAGCTCCGAAAGCTTGAACTGTAATTGTCATTTTTTCCTTGTACTGTAAACCTCCAAAAACCACCCTATGTATTCCCATACTTTTTATTTGCTTCTTGCGGGCGGGATGCAGCAGTTCTGGGAAGAGCCCACCGCTCTGAACTCAAAGCGGTTGCCGCAGAAAGGGAAGGGTGCTGTGCGATTCCTGTCCTCCGAGATAGATGATAATACAGCTTAATTATGGGTGTTATGCCGTGCTCAGGGGGACATACAGGGTTTAGGGCGTCAGGTTCACGGCAACAGTCACTTCACTCACGTGCATCAGCACTCTGTCAAGCGCACCCTCGACAGCAACTACCTCCAGCCGCAACCCTTGTGGTCGTCATGCTGCATGCAATGACTGGTGCCGCTTGTACCACGTAAAAGGACTTTGGAGGGGAGTATGACTCCACCTTGCCTGACAACCATCACCTATGCATGTAGAGGCTTGACCGGGAATGGTATCTCCCATATCCTATATAAGACCCTTGCATGATCGCGGCGGCCACCCCGCTCCACGTCGCTACTTGTACTGGCACATTGCGCTGCTGGCCAAATCTCCCCAAGCCCCGAACAATAAGACTTTTGGGCTTCTGGACTGGGCCATAAGGTGGTCCTCCACATTGGCCTCGATGAACATGGCCTGGGTGCAGCCTGTCTGCTGATGTTTCCTTGACATGGCTCAAGAAATGGGTTCCACGCATAGGCAACCCAAATAAGACCGCAATTCAGTATAACCTGTACATTAGGGAGCTTTAGAAAACCAGCGCAGCAAGGATCTGCCTGCTTGTCTAGTTCCGGCTTGTGCGACCTATATAAACCCAGTTTTTGCTTGGGTGCTGTGCCAGCTGATTCATTTGCTATTGCGTCCACGCTTCTTCTCGGCCTTGTACCCCAAAAGGTCCGCACCAGCGATGACGGCGTCAACGAACTGCTCGAAACCTTGTCCTGGGTATAGCCTTAGTGAAAGTGCTTGGCAGCTTCCAGCTGTCCATCGAGTTTGGAGCAGAACATGGCAGAGCAATAAAGACTTCTGAAACGTGAATGGCAAACAGCGGCAAAAACCTCAAGGTTCCTCTTGCTTGTCAGGCAGCGAGATTATTGCAGGAGGAGCTTCCTGCCAATGTCGGTGGATTGCTTATGGAGATCACATCATTAGACTTATGATAAGACCATGAGATGGGTAAAGCACTAAAACTGCCTGTTCCGCATGAAGCATACTGGCCCTTCTTTCTTGCCGCCATCCAAGATTGTCAATTCCCAATTCAAATCAATTTTGGTACGTATTATTCCCTATATAAACCACCGTAATTGGATGAGGGTCCCTATAGATTTCTTTGTTACCCTTGTCATTTAGTAGGGCCTAACCCACTACACAACCACCCTAAACGTAGCAGTTCCCATTTTCTTTTCCAACATGATTTCTGCTCTGTTCAACACATGAAAATCCTGCCCCCTAAATCCCAACTCCTGCGTGGTGATTACAACAACCATGCCCAGCCTGTGCGCCCAACCGGTGGTCGTTGCCGGCGGTTGCCACAGTGCAGCGAACAAGCTCCTTACGCTTGCATAGATGGGAAGGGAAAAATGGAAAAGGCATTGGAAGCTACTTTTTATCGTTCACGCTAGGTGGGCCCACCGCACTGTGATAGTGGTATAATAAAACAAGAAGACCCTAATATAATCATCATCTGCCCGTATAGTCATTATCACTGGGCGAGGGGTCCACCTGACGTTTAGGGTTCAGGATTCGGAGTTCAGGTGGGGAATGGAGGAATGGATCCCTGTAGTAGCCTCCACACAACCCCAACAATGTAGCAGTTTCTGCTGTCTTTTCCACCTAGGCCCTATCATTTTTGCTGGAGGAAGCCTTGCACCAACCACTGTAAGCCCTTTGATGCTGTTCGTTAGTAGGGAAGGAAAGGAAAAGAAAACGGAAGCCCCTATTGAATTCCTGTTAGTGGAGGAAATCTTGTAGTGTCCTAAGTGCACAAAATGCCTGATGCTTCATTAGCCGCCCTTTGCTAAACAACAAGCAGCTGGGCTTCCCTCCCCACGCCGCAGATACCTGTAGCCCACATCAACAAATTCCAACCACTGGCCAGTTGCTCATGTCTACAGACGTAACCCACGAGTGCCAAATACTGGAAGGCGAACAGAAGACCGACAAAGTCTTTATGCCCCCACCCCACTTAGCAGGCTGCTTAATCTCATGCCTTTCTTAATGTCGTTGCTCTTCATAGATGGAAAGCGCAGGGAGAGGGAAGAGGGACAGTTTGGACTTGATCCCATGTTTTGCTACCCATTTTGACACAGACGCCTCTTTGTTGGAGAGCTGTGGCAATGGGCATGTTACCCCCGACATCCTACTAGACTTGAGTCCTAATGGCAGCCATGGCACATTGTACTGAGACAGGCCATAAGCCAAGCAAGCAATTCCACTCACGTAGAGCTTCCTGCCTTCGTCTGTCTTGCCGGGGTAGAAGAAATTGATGCCTGTATCCGTTCCAACTGACCAGTTGGCGTGCTTACCGCTGCCATTGATACCCGCGAAAGGCTTTTCATGGAACAGCACCTGCAAGCCGAGCTTTTCCGCTTCTCTGTTCATGGTCTCCATGAAGAAGACGTTGCTGTCACAGGACACGTTCGCGACCCGGAAGACAGGAGACATCTCATGCTGACCTGGAGCGACTTCATTGTGCTTCACGGCCATGGGGCATCCCACTAGCAACATTGCAGCCTGGACGTTGTCCAGCAAATTTTGTACACTTGTTGGGATTGCCTGGAAATAGTTCAGGTCGCCCTGCTGGTGTCGCGTGGGCAACTTGCCGAACAAGGTCCGGCCAGTGTTCACCAGATCTGGGCGGGCCTTGTAGAGCGCAGCATCCATCACAAAAAACTCCTGCTCCCAGCCCAGGTAGCTATGCATTGTCTGGGCATCTTTTCCAAGGCCGACGGCCTTCAACATTCGCAAGCCTTGCGACTTGACTGCATCCATCGACCGCAGAAGTGGGGTCTTCTCATCGATGCACTTCCCGAAGTGCGTGATGAATGCACATGGGATGTACAATGTCTTGTTGATCACAAAAGGCGGGGAGGACCGATCCCAGGTGGTGAAGGCTGCCGCGGAATGTGTTACTCGGAGCCCTCCGTTTGGGAAGGACGAGCCGTCGGTCTCGCCTTGGAAAAGCCGCTCTGCTGGTAAGCAGGCCTCCGCTGGCAGAGCTCTTGCGCCAAGCTTTACAAACCTACAAAACTGCTTCAGCATGCCCAGACACTTCACCCACACGAGCCTTCATGGGCTTTGTCACGTACTTCGACCCAAAGTCGAGGTCCAAAAGAGTGTCCTGCGCCGGGAATGCGGTGCAAGCGACTAAGCCATACAATCGCAGTACAAGAACGCAATGCAGGCTTTTCCAGATATTGCTTGCAGCATGAAGCGTCGGCGCCGATGCCCTTCCACTATGCAGCACCTACAATCATGCGACTCGCGACGACTCTTTTTGGAATTGCGAGAAAAGCTATCCGCATGGGTGAGGCGTTCCTTACAAGGAAGAAAACACAACAACTATTACTACCTACTATTACCGTATACTGAGAGTCACTCATGTCTTCTATCACTATAATAGAAACTTTAGGACATCAGCTGGTTACCACTCGAGTTCTGCCGTACCTAAATCATCCCACAAACCCTGTAAGCCTTGTACTCCCCTAAAAAACCCCAACAGGGCCTGCTTGAAGGCGCCGAGCATGCCACCCACAGCGCCGCCCTGACCACGAAGCGGGAAGAACCAGTGGCTGAAGTCCACGGCGCCACGTTCCCGCGCCTTTGCTCAAGAATTTTTGAGGTCAATCTTGAAACCTGATGCTGCGACGACCCAAAGAACTCAGAATCCCTACAACCACAAGCTCAAATACTGCTTACATCAGGGAGACGGGGGTGTTGGGCCTCCTGATAACGACCCACCTGGAAGTGTTCCCGGGTTAGTGATCTGATTATAGCTCATGTGCCCGCAAGAACAAAAGAAATTCTGGCCAAACACATGGAATCACGGTTCTGAGCAAGTCACGTTGATGTATGCGTAACGCGAAAGCTGAGAAACGCTCATGACTGTGTTGGCGGTTCTTTTGAACGCATATGCAAGCAAGCTACCCATTCAAACATCGCATCTGCAATGATCTTCTGATCATCCTCCGTTGTGGGTGCGCCGCTGATCAAGCACTCCTGACGCGATAAATCGGCCGGGTGGGCTGGCACGCAAAGCAAACAGCGGAGCTTTTCGAAATTTTGACGTGACTTTAACGCTGCCACCAAGCACCCATAACATAGTGTAACAATGCTATGCTACCCTTACGTACTGATATACCCTGACATTGCAGACGGCCCGGAAAGCCTCAGGAGGCTAGCGGCTAGTAGTTGATCGTCGTGTTGAAGCAACATGGAAGTGTCGGACTGCCTCGCGAATGAAACCTACAGTATGATGTTGTTGCGCAGAATAGAGACCTCGACAATCTTCTGTCGGGTCGTAAGGAGGTGTGACGTTGAGGTTTCCTTCCATTTTGAAATGGCACGCTGCGCTTGCTGGCATGCAGTTGTGCGAGTGCCTAGCTCAAACAAACACGTCACTTCAACTGTCATGAAGCCTCTGACGAGCGGAGGCACCCACTTGCTTCCCATGGTGGCTCGTTCCCCTAATTAGAAACAGTATTTGCTAGGTGTTGATGCCTGCTGGCAAAGGCTGAGAATCATGCACTTACGTGTGCTGGAAGCCCTTCTTCTTGATTAGTACTTACTCAAGAATCACATCGCCTCTGAAACGTTAAATGAAGTAGCTGCCACTGAACACTGGGCTCCACACACTACACCTTGCAGCCAAGCAATGTCGACAAGGAACAGAAAGATTCCATCACAAAACCCTTCCCAACGATGTCTTGTCTCTCTGTGCGTTCTCATAGGTTGGAACTCTGGATCCCAGCATGGGCCCTAACATGACATCCTTTCTATACCCTCTAGTTGCAGACACGACAAGGGCCAATGCTGTCTGTCAAAACCAATGGCCAAGCCTGCCAAGCTCTCAACTGCTAGCCTCAATCTTAGAAACAAGGACCTGCAACATAGTAGCAACCAAAATGGGGACTAGTAGCTCGACACCTTCCAGATGGGTTGCCCCTTAGGGGCATGCAGGGAATGCAAAAGGACCTTAGCGGCAGTTTCTCAAAGTATTCCCTGCATACTCACTAATTGGGACCCCAGAATCCCCTTGCATTCCTGAGCTTCCATGGGGGCGCCCAATTCTCAGAAATCCCCATCCAAGGCTTATTTGGAAAAGTTTTCAGCTGACCGAGACCAACTCTGGCTGTCCTGGAAACGCTTCACCACTGCTGCCGGCAGCTTCTCGGCCATTACCTGCGTGTTGTATGGTTTTGGCTGAGTTTGTGTTTGGGCTGCCTTGCGCAACAGTTTTCAGGGCTGCAGGACCAAAATCGCTGGTATACACAGCACTCCGGGCCATTGCTTGACATGCAAAAACAAACGTTGTGCTTAGGCTGCCCTACAGAGCATTTTCGAGGACAGAGCATTCTCGGCTATGTGGCTTAATGCTTGCCAACACAGAATGTTCATGACTCTTGGGTTACCAGAGCATACAGTTGCCAGAGCATCCATGCTGGGCAAGATAATAACGCTTGTGTTCAGAGCATACGGCTAACAACCCACCCATGCGGGCCAAAATAGTAGCGCTTGTGTTGACAGAGCACTCGGTTCCCAGAGCATCCATGCCCAGTGTACAGTTCGTTGCAAGCTCGTTTCTTGCGCGGCTGCAAAACGGTTCCTGGCAAAAACATGCAGACCTTGATTCATGTTGTCACGCCGAAATTTCTGATTCGGTCGGGAAAATTGTGACTGGGTCCGGACCTGTACAGCGCTTCCTTCCAGACATCTCAAGCGCAAACAAACGCGCCGTGGGAGCCGGTTAAGGGTTTAGGGAGCTGTAGAGGAACCTACATAATTCAAATAGTTGTTCAAAATCATACATGAACTTGATCTTTTCTTCACGCTACACAGAATTGAAAGGATTTCAATGTAATAAATGCTGGCAGTATTTCCTCAAACTCCCTCTATATATGCAAAAAAACATGTGTGTATATATACACACAGTGACGCATAATGCCAGTGGTCTAGGCACCAGTAGTGCTCATCAAGCACTCTTGTCCATTGTGGCGTCCCCTCGTGCACACCCCAGCAAAATTGGATGTCAGGTAATCCAAGCATGTATCATATATAGTATGCACATACACATGCGTCAAGCTAATATGCATCTCATCTTCGTGAGCGGCTACGTCAACTATCTTGATTCCAGGTGCCAGTGCCCTCCAAAAATGCTTACTGAGGCAGGTGCCTTGTCATCAAACATGTTCTTGCCCATGGTGGCCAAGGGATCAGCTGATCCTGGAGCGCCGGTCACCGCTGTGACGGCCTCTGCACAAGCAAGAAGTCGATTCTGGAGCATGGACCTCATTCAATTCCTTGTTTGGCAGGTGAGCTGCCAGCATCAAAAGTTTGGGGAGTCTGTTCTTGGAACTCCGCATCCCGGCACCGGGCAGCAAAATATGGCCTGCAGGACCGCAGAGGATGTGGCTTGACCCATGACTGCCTGCGAGGAAGCAGCAGTGGCTCATGTCTCACGTTTTAGATGAACATGGCGCGACTCAGAATATACATCAGGCTGCCACACATGTCGAGAGCAGGCATGACGTCACAACAGGATGCTGGCAGCGCCAAATGACGCTTACTTGCCTTGAACTCCTGGATGTTGAGCAACACTAACTGGCAAATACGTGCTGCCGAGCCAAATCGTCCCGGAAACAAAGAAGTGCCGAAAACGCAACGCCAAGGCCAAAACGCAAGACATGGAAGTTTCCTAAAATAGGCGTACCGTGTTGGGGTTCCCATAATAAGATTGTAGTATATTACAAATATTTTTGGATATATATTGGGAGACCTTATTTGGGAAACTGCCACACGGAGCTTGCCGCACAGTCATACGTACTACGACGCCAGGCGCTATGGAGATTGCATTGCCGTGGCCTGCCCACTGTGAAGCTGTCTCTCAATTTGACCGCTTCCTGCTCTCAGAAGCTTGCGGCCGCATCGGCTATGTAGGGATTATGCGGTATATATTGGGGTTATATTGGGATAATGGAAAATTAGAATGGAGACTACTATAATGGGTTATAATAATAGGGATTACAGGGTAGGAATTATAGGGGTGCAACAGCAGGAGGATATAAAAGTTGCTCAAGATTAACTTGGCGTGCAAAGGCTAGTGGTGTCCCCAACTCAACTGCTGCAGCTTCCACACCGCGCCACTACGTCTGACTTCACCCGAGGCTTGTCTGTCAGACAGTGGCCTGCTTGGCATCTCGCACCAACTTCTGAACGTGCTTTCTGTTCTCGTCATGGCCGGCCCTTGCATTAGGCATGAACAGCAGAAAACTAGCTCTGTGCTAGGGTAAAGTCTCAGGATCATGCTTCTCGCTCTGATTGTTGGCGTTCACCTGGCGCAAGGCGACAGCAACAGCACAAGTTCAGCTCAGACCAAAGGCTTCAGCGCCGGCGCTCAGGCGCTGAGAGCACTTATGGTGAGCCAGGTTCAGTTTTTGCGCTTGCATGACTTCAATGCGGTCGCTACATGAGCTGCAAAGCACAACATACCCCATGTTGTGAGATCATGTGAGATCCAAAGGGGGGATATAGATGTTATCTGTGAGTGATTCCAAGGACCGCTGAGACTCATGGAGGCATGTCATAAATAAAGAATCCGGAGAGCAATTTAATTAAACAGATCCTGCAACGAGTCATTTCTCCGCTTCAGCCAGTCAAACGAACCCGGCGCTTTCGCGGGGGCAGGCATTGACGATGCGTCCACAGCGCTCGGCCTCCTGCCTTTCGCTTGCGTGCTGCTTTAGGGCGCCACCGTCCCTCGATCACATCTGGGGACGCCTCGTTGACACGAGAACTTGGGGTCTTCACGTCTCCGCATGCGCTGCGTGCAGCTGTCTCCAGTTTGCAGTACAAGTCTTCCCAGAATCCGTCTTCGTAAGGCTTCTTCAGAGAGGCGCCCATCCTGGGAGGGGCCATCCAAAGATTCAAAGCCAAGTGGCCGCCTTCATCGCCACCGTACGAGATGACTTCGTGAAACCAGCTTGCTGGCAGGTAGAGCAAGTCGCCCGCACTGAGCTCAGCAGTCAGGTAACGTCCATGGAGTTTTTCCGGAATAGTTGCCCTGGCCCCTGCACAAGTACTGACGTGACAAAAGCTATCCGGCAGCGAGCCCTCGTTGCTCCCATGGCCATTTTCCTGACCTCCCCTGGCCTCTGACAGCAGTTGATCGAGCTCTGCCTCCTCTTCCTCACTTGACCCCTGGACTTCCTGTCCTCCAGCACTCCAAGCCCGAGCAACAGACGATGGAGCCCCGTCAGAGCGCATCCCTGGTATGTAGGTTATGAGGCCATTAGGATGCAGCTTGGAATGTCCGCGCGCCACCCCGACTGGACTCAACATGTCCAGGCAGCGTGGGCTGAACAGTCGGAACTCCTTGCGCCCGCGAAGCAAGACATAAATGTTGTCATGGAAGTCATGGTGGAGGCCGGATGAGGAACCCTCCTGCGACCTTCCAAACCACAAATTGTATTGTACCGGAGCCAGGCGGCTCACCAGGGCAGGCCTAAAAGTTTGGGCACCTCGAAGCAGGTTCAAGACGTGTGCTGACGCCAGAGCCTGTGGACAACCCTTGGAATCTTCGGGCAAAGCTTGGGTTGTCAAGTACGCAAGCTCACTTCCTTGGTCAATCTCATCGCAGAACTGTGCCAAAGTTGTGGTTTCCCTTGTCCCTGCATCCTGCTGGCCGAAGAACTGGGACTTTCTGGCCCTTCGCTCTACTTCAACTTTACACCTTCCAGCGGGCCCTCTGCGCATGGCTGCTGTGCCCGCACGCCCCGGGTTTGCCCAGGAAGCGTCCTCACCAGACAAACCAAAAAGGGCTTCTAAAGCCCCGGCTGCTGAGTTACCGGTGCCAATAATGACTGGCTTCCGGCATCGCACAAATTGCTCGAAGAAGCGTGTGGGGTCCAACGATTCCCAGGCCGCACGTTCTACGAGCCCACCGCCCCCAACCAGCTCACCACGCTGCCAGTCAAGCGGGCAGAAGCCCCTGTAGCCTGTCCGAAGTCCTGAGCTGGCCTTGTGTCTCTTGCGCTCAGGCCTCGGAGCAGGGGAGGTCCCGCTTCCTCTTCCGCGAGAGCGGCCCCCCATCCCTTCCTTCCAGCCCCATTATCTGTTTTCTGCCTTGGGAAAGAAGACAGTCAGCTTGCCAAAGCAGAAGTACAAGTGGTTACAAGTGTGCATGCTTGTATGTGTATGTCTGCAGGTGGTTTATGTATGACTTTACAAGAGCAAATGCAATTTGGACTGGTCTTAGAGCGGGGGCGTTCAGTATTATTCATGACAATATCTTGAGGTTTTGGTCTAAGAAACAACTCAACTGGAAGCAGCGGCTGCGGCAATGAATCGCACAGGGTCTGCCAGCAAGGCCACTACTTTACTTACGATGCATTATTGCAATGCGTTCGCGCAAGCACGTGCAGTAACTGCCCATCCCTGATCCCTTTTGCGCAGACAAATCATGACAGACCTGTCAAGTCGCTGGTGGACCATTCTTGAAAGGTGTGCCGTTGCAAATTTCCGGAAAGCTCCGCTCACAAGGGCTCATACTTGCTGAGTACAGCCGCAGAAGGCTTCGCCCCACTTACATCACGTATGTGGGTGTACTGACTTGCAGTGGACCTGCAGCCTGGGAACATGCAAAATGGTGTGAGAATTCATCGTCTCATGTTCTCCGAGGCTTAGGAAGGCTTCCATCGCGGATCAAAAGGTCCACCAACGCTCTTCCTTAACGGACACGCCCATGGCAAATCCGTGTTGACCGAGCTGCCCCATTCTGTCGCGACTTTAATCAGCTGTATGTAGAAGACCTCTGCCTAGCATTAGAACCTTGGAGACTCTTCGGGTCTTCGCTGCGCACCAAGCCACGAGGCGAGGAAATCAATGCAAACATCGCGCACCTGGGCTCCGCCAGGTATGAACAAAGGATGCCGCGGAGTGAAGCCTGGGGTAAGCTGAGCTCTCAGCGTCCCAGCGGTACTGGGGCAACACGGCCTGACGACATCACCCAACAGAGTGCAAGAGAAGCCCACGGAATTTCAGTGGCCTGCAGCAAGTACATGTACAAGAGGACCCACACCATCGATGCAATCCCCCATGCGAAAGCCGACAGCACGCTCTTTGCCGTCGGCTGCACTTCCTCCGCGGGTGACATGCAAAAAAACAAAGCTTCACGAAGATCTCTCCGCACTGCAACAAATCAAGGAAGGAAATTGTTAAATCTCGACATGGAGTACCCGGACCTTCATCTCGACTACTGTCTCTCTCCCCGCCACACTTTTGCAGCAACGCTGGCATTCGGGCAGGGGCAGCCTCGCGATCTGTGATCCCTGCACTCTTGGAAGGGGGTTAACGCAAGCTGCGGCGGCAATCCATTGATTGCGCGGCTTCTGAGTGAACTGGACTGACTTTTCAGGAAACGAAACTCACTGTGCCCTGAAGCCTACTCTTGCACTTGTATACTTGCCGTGATTGCCAAGGCAAGCATGGTCAAAAGTGAATTCAAACATTGCCGTGCAACGCCACGTGGGCGCGACTCAGCATTCAAACGGTCCCTCGTGACCTCTGCAGAAGAGGTCGTGGGTCTTGTCAACCAGAATTCCTCCTAGAATCGCGCCCAGATCACCGACGAAGCACCAGAAAGAGTATGACGCCAAATTGTGCTCACTAGCCACATGCTTGTCTACATGGTGAGCTGTCAGGCCATAGATCGTGCCGTTGCCCCAGAACACCAAGAAGATAGCCAGCGGGATGATGATGGCGATGGCTAAAGACTCCAGGAACAGGCCAAGGGCGATGCATGTCATGGCTACTCCCAAGTACACCAGGCGCCTGAGGGTCAGATTCTACTGACAGGGATCTGGACAGCTGGCTTCAAATCTGTGCTTTCACAACAAGCATAGTTTCCAGGCTGCTCTTGAGCAAACATCTGAGCTACCTAAGTGGGCGAGGAGCCGGCGAAGGCTTGGCGTGGACAAGTAGATGGCGATCCGACGACTGATGGAATCTCCCAGGAAGATAAAGACGTAGGTCACAGCAAAGAACTGGCCCCACTTCATGAGGTGTGTCTCGCCTTTTGGATCAAAGAGCGGAACCAGGGGAGGGTGGAACATGTAGAAGATGGCCGGCCAGTTCTCCATCGCGAAGTGGCTAAGGAACTGAGCTGCAAAGAAGGGAACCATGCCTGGCCTTGGAATGCAGCACAGCCACTGCGGCGACTGCCCCTAGCCCTAGAACCCCTTCCTCCCAGTACCATTCCCATCCCCGCAGTCTTGTGCCAAGTGACATCCATCGTCGGGCCTAGCAACTGTTTCGGCTAGAACTTTCATGCGGGGTGCTTGTTCTGAGGAGAGCTTAGGACATTGAGCGCCTTAGGACGTTCCAGTGTCTGAATCACAGTGCAAATGCCTCTTCTGCAAGGCTGCATGAAACCCATCGAAGGATGATTTTCGGTCCTTAAGCGCTGATTAGCATTAGGTCGTGGATGCCTCCAGAATCCTGATACCACATTTCGGACCCTGGTCTTTTTGGCATAGGCATAGTCATAATACCCGTTCTAGAACCAACATGCTCAGGGTTGCACCGTTCAGCCTTCCAGGGGAAGTGATTGCAAAGTTCACAAAGGTCCCAGGCAGGCAATGCTTCATGGGAGCTGCGCAAAGGGTGCGCGCGTGCTACGAGTAGCAGCGCCGTGCGAGGATGTATTTGTGGTGCCTACCATAGAGGTTAATGAAGGTTGCAACATGAAACCTCCAAATCCTCTAGCCCCATTGCGTTTCCTCGTCTCCTTACTGCTCCCACTGTAGTGATACTTGCTAATATGAGCTGTAATTCAACTAGCACCCCCTTTCCATAAGTTCCACTACTGCTGGGAATGTCCCGGACCCGTGCCTGCAGCAGGGAAGCCCCAAAGTTGGCGGTCTTTAGCTCGGTGTTTCCGCGCGGCGCTAAGTGGCAGAATAAAGCCAAACCAATCCTTGGTAAGACAGGAGAGGCGTACCGTGCATCCAGGGCAATCCTTTACCCAACTTAGAGGTTCATGGGACTAAGTAACTACAGTACTTATCAGTCATCCCCCTAACTGGAGTTATTTAGTTATAGCTACAGTTTTCACTGAAGTTATAAGGAGTTCTTAAATCGCATGGCTTTAGGTATACCCCCAGGAGCTTCAGCATGGGGATCCTCAGTGGTGTAAGATTTCATCCGTCCGCCATGGTAGTTAGAGATCGTGGCATTCGAGACTTTTTGATCAATGCTTCGCTGATTTCATCCGTCCGCCATGGTAGTTAGAGATCGTGGCATTCGAGACTTTTTGATCAATGCTTCGCTGCACGGCCAGAAGGTGGAACGGTTAGCCTACCACCTTGACAGCAAATGACCCTTCAACCTAACAAGGTGTAAGGTTCAGGGGTTCATGGTAGTTGTTAGGGCTTATTTCAATCCCCCCAACCCCCTACAGCAAAAGTCCCCCCCCCCCGCCCCCACAAATGGACCACACTATGGAATGTTCGATATTTGGGGGCGCAGGGGTGTTTACCTTAGGGTGCGGTTTGGCTTTAAGCCCTTCAAGCACACCGCTACAGGATACAACAAAATGCACAGGGCATGCGCGCAAGGCCGACGAGGTTCGGTAGGCAGGCCAAGATGTAGTAGAAAATATAAACCATTTCCTGAAGCATGGTTGTTCGGAAAAGAGGGTTGGATCCCAAGAGTATATCAGTTAGCTTCCATTTCTTCTATATTCCATGAAGCTCCATGCATTCCCTAATAACCCCAGACCCAACAGCAGCTTCCATGTTCCTTTCCATCCGTCATTCCCATCTAGCCACTAGCCAGCCAACCGCAATCCCTTTCGTGCATCCGGGCTCTTTGCAAGAACGTAATCCCTACATCCTGTATATCGCTACCACTAAGCCCCTAACCTTGCATCCTGTGCCTCATTCCCCTACTAACCACCAGAACACCTCCACTCGGAAAAAAAAATGATGCGTTCCCATAGATCCCCCAGGTGTCCATTTGATTTTCCGGTTGTTTCTCCGTTATTGGGTAACATCCCCCTAAACCCTAAACCCTGTAGGCTGTAAGTGTCCACGCCGAATGATGTAGCAGTCAGGCCAAGGATGTTGATGGTTGCAAAGCCCATTGGACAGCCCACAATGGCCCATGCTTTGGTTGCCTGGCTGGAACTTAGCTCCCCTTTAGGAGGTTATAGGGATTATCTAGGAATGATACAGGGCGTCGTGTTCAGTTGCCATTACAGTTGCCATTATGGAGAACTAAATGGGCAGCAAAATGAGAAATCAAATCAGAGCGTTTGTTGAGGTACTAGCTTAAGTTACCACAAAGATTTAAACATGGGGTACATCACAGCGGTTCCTTGTTCTGGTCGCTTCATTTAAGCTCCTTAACAGCAACCCAGTTGCCCTGCCCAAAGGGGTGATCACGCTGAGGAAGGTTACCTCGAAAATGCCCAGTCCAAGGCCCGAGAGCATGTAGGCGATGAACACGGACCCAACCCAATCCCAGCCCGCAGTGAAGACCAGCAAGGTTGGGATCGTAACGCCTACGAACATAAAGACCATTGCAATAATGACCCGGGTCCGTGGGCTAAGGCAGGCAAAAATGACATTGTGTCCCAAGCGGGCAATCAACTTGCCATAGTGGACACCTACAGCTGCCTGTGTAAAGGCATGCGCTGCAGCGCTCCCATCAGTGCTGATGCCCAGTCGGTGTTTGTAAGCGGACTGGAGAGGGCCAACCATGGAGGCATAGCCCTGAAACATGCAAAGCATGACCAGGCACCTCGGAGGTCTGCAGCCCCAGCGTTAACCGGTGGCCCTATGTGCAATCATAGGAGCTGTAGTAGTAGCCGTCGTCCTCGTAGACGTAAAAGTATTTGTAGAATCAGTAGTAAAAAATGAAAAAGTAATCGTAGCAGAAGAAGAAGTAGTAGTAGCTGTAATAGCAGTAGCAGCAGGAGCAGAAGCAGCAGGAGCTGTCGCAGTAGCAGCAGTCAGTAGGAGGCGCCCCCTCACCAACCATATTTCCTCACATTGCATATATTGAATCATTGAACCCGTGTAAAAACTGAGGGAGGTTCCGTGTCTGTGGAATGTCAAGAACGCTGTAAATTTTGTCGAACGCAACAAGCCCAGTGAATGCAGGGAGGGGTTGGAAAGCGGGAGCTGCGGAGGCGGCATAGCCACGTAAGTTTCGAAGAGCGGGCATGCAAAAACTGCTGGTACTTCAACATTTCTTGATGATTTGGCGTCGGTGAGGCACGCTCCATCATGCCCCGCTTCTGCTTAGGCTCTTGACGCCTGCCCCTGCCATTTGAGGGAACATGGTAGTAGGAGGTAAGAGCAGCAGTAGTAATACTAGTAGGAGGACGTGCCTCCCCTACCAAGCATGACCAAGCACCTCGGTCTCGGTCTTCAGCCCAGGAGTTTAAACTGGTAGCGCTGTGTGCCATTATCGCAACCGTAGCAGTGGTAGTGGTGGTAGTAGCAGTAGTAGTAGAAGTAACAGTAGAAGCGGGAGTCCACAAATATTCAAGGTGCCACTAACCACAGCATTGGTAACAGTGCAGTGATGATTCGTGGTTCCTAGTAAAGGGATGGGCACTGATAAGACCAACACGAGCAAGCTGAACAGCCTGGCTGCATGAGGCGGACCGGTGGCGGTTCCTCCGCTGCTGCTGGTTTGTCCAAATCTTGCTCGGTGACGTCACTTTGGGAGTTCTCGAGATCCAGGCCATCTTTTGCGGCACCTGAGCGAGCCACATCGACAATGGTAAGGTCAAAGCCAGTAGGTAATGGACAGTCCCTTTATCCTATTCCTTCATCCTCTACGAACCCTGAACCCTGAATTCTAAAGACTAGATGACAAATTGCACTTTCCGCGTTCCCCCCTACACTAACAGCAGCAACACTTGAAACACAAAAAGCAATGGCAACAGTAATAGTACTAGCCACCAAAAATCACATTCCGTTGACGAGTGTCGTTGACCTTTGGCCGAGTCCAGCACCTCAACCTTTCAGGCAGTCAGTCACGCTTGCATACGCCGGGGGTCGCGAGGGCAGGGATTGGGTCAATGGCTCAGGATTGGTTGAGTTCTCCAAACTAGGGGCCTGGATTACAAGGAATCTTTTCAGGCAGTCGCCTTTCTAAGGATTGTATATGGAGTGCCTTAGCAAAGGCGGGTGGGTGGTCAAGTCGAGTCCCCACGCAGATCAGCTAAACTTTCTTTCCATACACCAACATACAGTATTATACCCAGGCGTGGAGATGCTACGACATCAACACCTGACTTTCGCCTTTTGAGGGGAGTGTACACAAACAATAACAGGAGACACATTGCATTTTTTTCCGAGCTGGCCTCCTCCGCATGCACAACGCTAGTGTTCGGTTCTGTTTCTGGCGCCATGCGCTTGGCGGCTTCGCTTTGCTAGCTGAACTACAGGGGAGGAGCCAGGCGGGTGCTGACTACATATGCCCTGAGCCAGACATGTTGCGCGAAGTGCCATCCCGTGATGCTGCAGGGCGACAGTATCTACACATTCAGGCACGCCCACATGCATATTACTAAAAGTGGTCTTGCTTGCAAATTGCCTGGGGATGACTTTGAGAAGCTCCCATAATTGACGTGGTACCAGCAGGCTGTCAGAACTATGGTCCGTTTTTGGGTGCTCTAAATTGTAGGGGGCGTATTGTCTTGGGGACCTAAAAAAGACCATAACCTTGATATGCATTCGACATTCATCTCCTTCTCGCGCGGCTGGATTTGCGTGTTTCTGGTGTCCACCACGCTCTGCAGCGGCACCACCGTGCTGAAGATCACATTGTTCAGCACAAGAATGAACCTTAGCAGTAGTTTCGGCCAGCGTGGTTCATCGCTCTGGGGGAAAGTTGCTTCGGGCTGCGCTACGCGAAACGTCGATTCAAAGACTCTTCGGATCAATGTCCCCAGTTTTTATGCTGCTGGCAGGGGGCTCCAAAGCGACCGCGTTCAGAATCACGTCCTCAAAGCTCGGAGTTGCGGTCAGCCAGCGACAGCCCAACCTTCGATGTCTTGCAGGAAAACACCTGTACAATGCGTTGCCGTCCAAGCTCATCACCAGCGCTCAGCGAATCGTAACACGACTAGCCTAGTTTCCAGACCAAGTTGCCACAACAAGTAAGAATCCACGATCAATCGAGGCAGGAAAAGGACGACGGTCAGGATGCCTTTGACCTCAAGTTGTGCTTCAAGGCCCAACTGGAAACATCCTCTGGCACTTTGCACGATCCAAACCTCTGAAATCTCAAGCTCAACATATCATCCACTGCTGTTTGGATCATAGGGTTCCGGAAATCCCAAAACTCCCCTACGTACAATAGTAACAAATCCTTGTGGTACCTCTCTCATGGCACTGGAGAGACCCATGATTGGAGTTCCAAGTACTTGTGTTTAAGGCGGAGTGGGGGAGTGGATCCTGTAAAAATCCCAACATTGCCCCCTATCCGTCGCCCCTTGGTTTAGGGTTTAGGGTTATGTGCTATTTCCTACCCCACTTCCTCCCCAAGGACCAGGAAGTCTAACCACTGCCCAGGCACAAGTGCGGTCAGGCCGACGACCACAAACTCCTCCTCCGAGCCCTCCTCAAGTCGTTTTGTGCCAGTGGCATCAAGATCTTTGCTACTCAACACAGGGCACTTCTAGGGATCCTTTTTCGAGGTACTGAGGCCGAAGCGTGTGACAAACATTTCGAGACCAATTATACCCACCCCCCCCCCCCCCCCTAT